TTAGAGGAACTCTAAAAAAAGGTTGAATTATGACAACAATTATGTAATATTGCACGTCGCGTCTGATCGGCTAGTCTGGAAATCTTTGGTAGAGACCTATGTTCAGAAATGGACGTCTTTCGTTTTAATATATCATAAATATACTTACAAAGTAAAACTTAAAATAGTACAGCCAATAACAGGTTTTCTAGAATAAAATTTAGTATATAGAGTGTTCATTTGCATTCTTGCCATATTTAAGAAATTAATAATAGAAAAAATTCTAAATCGTCTAAAAACATTAAAAAGATTCTGTTCAATAATTTGGCTAATTGTATCTTGTAAAGTTTTGCAAAATTGTCTCAAGTCGTATGCACCATGCAAGTGACCTCGCCACCTGCTACACCGACCGATACGTAATCTTTCTCGAGCGCTTATTAACCTTTTTTTTTAATTATGATTATGTACTAGTATTATTATAATTTACTACTTATTTGCTTTAATTTGAAAGTTCACTGAAATATGTTTTTTTGTGACTTAGATTTGGTACTTACGAACGTTAGGTTACATGACGAGAATAGAATGTGGGGGGTGTTAGCGTGATGTAGACGCAGGTATGGAAAGCAAGGTCGACTGAACTACAAATCCTCGATACGACACATAAACAAATGTAAAAATTTTAATATACCTCGTTTAATTTTTAGAAAGTTATTGATGTCGTTTTACTCATTAGGTAACATAATTTGATACCTCTTATATTTAAGGAATAATCACCTGAGCACACTTAACCATTACACCCTGTATAACAAAACGTTTATGTAATTTGAAAAAAGAATGACTGCATCGTCTTTTGATTTCGATTTAACGTTCTGGTATAAGTGTCCACTGATTTATATAAACTTTTATGTATAGGCAAATATTAATTTTATTTACTTTTTATTTTTTATAATATTCTCACATCCACACCAATTACTTGGTCTCAAACTAGATAATTTAATGAACAAAGATTTTTTTGTAATAATAGTGCAAGACACACCTAGAAAATTCCCTGTATTTTAAGTACCAAAAAAACGGATTTAATTCCGGGGCGCTACCCAGATAACCCACAGTAGAACCAATTTAAGAATTCCCGAATCGGCACAACCGAAAACCAAACCTGGAACCTCCTTGTCCAGCGTCCAGTGTCCAAAACCGTTGGATCACCAAGGTCAGACGACCTCAGAACGCCATATAACAATTTACTTAGAGTAAGTTCTATCATTTAAGTTTTAAAACTAAAGACAAAGAACTTAACAAACAACTGCTAAGTTAAAGCCAAGTTTAAAGCTAAAGCTCTTATATTAAGTATCGTGTTGAGTACATTTCAAGCAATTTAGCACCGTAGGTCACTGTCCTAGCACTAATCCTTGCAGCTTGCACACATATCTAGATCTTAACTTAGTACAAACTTAGCACTGCGATTAAGTAATGTAAATTGAACTCTATATCCTAGGTTGCAAAGTTGTCGGAACAATATGTAGAAATTTGCATACAATACTGTGTAGAGACTCCATGAAAGCCATTTTGGATATTTTTTATTACTGTGAAAAATTCTTGTGTATTATTTTAGCGTAAATTTTATATCAGTCAACAAACCTACTAAATTATCTATACATGCATTGTTAATTAGTTTCAGACAGAAATATGTATGTAAGTACATTGACGTAAGATGATTTGCTTTAGAATGGTCAAAATGTATAATTTTAACGCTGACTATACATGGTGGGCATTAGCTAGTTTGATTACAAATAAAAACAAAGATACATTGCAATGGCCCCTAGCCCGAGGGGGCCTAGTACCTTACAACTTGATTTTTTGAAGGTCTCTTCTTCGCGACACACATATTTTTGTTTCGCAAGTAGTAAATAAGAAATCATGGTCACCCTAGGAATGTGTATAAGTTTATGATTTATTCTCCGAGACCGCACTGCGGTGGTGGTGGAATAACGGGGATCTGTTTTTTTAATGTCAAAGTGTTAACATAGATATATACACGCTGAAATAAAAAGTGTACCATTTCAGCAAAACTATAATTTTTGTATGTTTTTTTATTTTTAAAATGCTAACCTCAACAATTGTCGTCAGTTGTCAAAAAACTGTCCACATACCGTATGGGAACTCAAAATATTTGGCATATTATTTGGCATGCAATATAATAAAAAAAGGTAATACAATTGAATAATAAAACATACGTCATGATCTATCACACCTAAGATTATAAGTAAATTTAAATGTAAAGTAGACGTGTCTAGACCTACTTTTGAAAGCAATGATATTTTTGAAATCTGTCCAATGTGCTTGTAGTTCTAGGAAGAGCCCTGATGTTTGCAATTAAGATAATTAACTATTTAGTTCAGACACAGATGTCTTGCCCTAAACGCAATGTTGCAAGCTTAACACTTTTCATGTCAGATTTATAATGTAAGAAATATATGAAAATTTATATCTTAAAAATTCAATAAGCACAGCTACAGAGCACTACGAAGTACATGAACCTAGCTGATATTTTATTGTTTAATAAACACAACTATCAAAATACAATCAATAATATAAAATATTCAAAAACAAAAGACATATATGGCATAAAATAGTAAAAATTCAAAAAATTTTCTTTCACAAGGGCTATAAGAACAATTAATAGCTTTTTTATGTTACCAAGTGACGGAACAAACGTGTGGTAAGTGGCACGCCTTTTTTTTTTTTTTTTTTTTAAGTAAGTGGTAAGTGGCACACCTACCCATAACAGTTGCAATGCCACTAAGAGCTTTAAATCGTAAAGATCTGTGGGACACTGCCACTGCCAATCACCATGAGACATTAGTTGACAAGTCCTATGTGCTTGTAATTTCACCAGCACCCTTACTTTTCAATACCGGACCACAGTAATGCTCACATTACTGCTTAGTAATTATGCACACGCTACTGCTACTAAACTTAAGGTTATGTAGAGGTGGATGTCTTCGCAAGATCACTGTCTTATTTCGAGGACTTTCAAAATTCTTTATGTTGAATTGGAAAGTTTCTGTATATAAAATCGTTATTATATATAAATAAATTAGTAACAATAAAAAAGGCACCCCGGATTGGCATGTATTTTTGTAATAAAATAACCTTGGCTAAGTTTTTTTTTGTAAATTCTTAACTTAAAGTTGGACTACCTCGCTGTAAAAATCAAAACTGACTGGCCAAATATTTTTGTTATAAAAACCAAAGAACAAATTTTGCTAATTACATTTTTTTACAGTCATTCGTGTGTAAAATCACCCGAGGAATTATAAAAATTCATCCTCATATTATGTTAGGATTATCCTTGTGTAAATGTAAATTTTTTTGACAACGTATTTTGTACATGTACGTATAATGAAAAAATACAAACTTTAGCATAAATTTCTCTAGATATTAGAGTTATAAAAATAATGGAATACTTTACTGGAATGGTAGAAGCGAGTAATTATCCAAATATGTATTTTATTGTACGTGAAAAACATCAAATTATTTCTTAGCTCAGTTGGTAACAGCGGTAGCCCTGTAACGGCAACAGACCAGTTAGATCGATATATGTAGATAGCAGCATTTTACCAAGCTACACATTTATGGATATTGTTCCGTTGCTTTAGTTAGAGGCGATATATGAACAAAAGTATATAGTTTGATGTGCTGCTAACTGTACATAAACATGAATCTCCATAACTATTCTTTATCCTATGACAACTAAAGAGTAGTGCTGCTTTTTTGTTCTTAGTTCTTAGTCAGCATTTGTGTGGTATTAAAAACTTTTGGTTCAAGGTGAATTACGGCCAATTCTCCATAAGAGGCTGACAAAACAAATTTAACGATTAACGAAATACTGGGTGAAATTTATATTAGCGATATTATGAGAGATGATTTAACCCGTCAATGAGAACGACCTTTGCAGTACAGACTTCCTTTAAAGCGAAACAAAATCAGCTGTCCGGTAATTTTGGCCGTTATCTGTGTGCGGTGGTAGGCGGGGACCCAATTCCGGCATGCCACCATTACGGTATACCAATACGCACACGTTCCTGATCTGGGGGCCTACCATAACCTTTCCAAAAACAATCTTATTTCAAGGTAAGCTTAAAGTAAGAGTATTGTAATATTACTCACATTAGTACCACGACGAACCAGTCAACCAAGCAATGTATTATTGCAAAAGTGATTAAAAGAACGAATGATTTCCCAATATTGTCTATTGCTTACTAAAAATAGGAAAGAGATAACGCTATGTGAACTGTATAATGCCATCTCTTTCTTTTTTGATGTTCCGAATCGTCTTATCATAGTATAATGTTTAAGTACTAGTTATTTACATTCAGAGAATTTTGATTGCTAAAAAAAGAATGTCATAGTAAAATCTATTAAAATTACGTTGTTTTCAATAGCTATACCGCATTTTCATGAAGAAAAATAAATTAAACAAGCTGAGTCTTCATAGTCACGTTGTGAATTCGGAACTATAGTCTAGTGTCAACAGTTAGTTTCGCCAAGGAGCATATAGATGGCGCTGTCATAATTTTACGAAATAAACATCGCGTATTTTTATTTAACGAAAAATTATTTCCTATGTGCTAATAAATAAAAAATAAACAAAATTGAATAGATATGTGTAATTAAATAAGTTCAACTTAACTTTTAATCATTACAAATCAATATTATGACAATAAAACAGAAAACAATATTGTTTCCATTGCATCCGTGTAACTATTTTAAGATTGCTAAATTTGACGTAAGAGCAATATTACTTTAATGTCAAAGTCGCGTCATGGTACGAACTGAGTGAATGAATAGTCATAAAGCTGCCAATAAAACATCATAGTTTTAACATTACAATAAACTTACTTTAAGCGCGTTAAGATACGAAAAGTCAATGTAAGGTTAAAGTAATCTTGTTTTAAGAGGTTGTGGTAGGCCCCCTGTTCTGCTGTCGACGCCTGTATACGGGGGTGGTGCGTTCGATGGCCATGTATGGAGCGCCCATATGGGCAAATAGCCTCACCGCTCAAGGCAAGACCCTCCTGCGGAGACCGCAGCGAGTCATAACGGTCAGGGTGTCGAGAGCATATCGCACCACCTCTTACGAGGCGGCATGCGTCATGGCAGGTACCCCACCATGGGATCTGGATGCAGAGGGGCTGTCAGCTTTCTATTAGCGGTCGGCAGAGCTGAGCTCCGAAGGGGAGAAGCCACTTCTGGAGCACATTAATCGATGGCGGATAAACATCCGACGGGCCGTGTTCCGGAAGTGGCAAGAGAAGCTGGAGGAGCCGAGATCTGGCCACTGGACCATCGGAGCGATTCGACCAGTCCTGGCAAAATGGGCGGATCGATCCTGGGGAGGCATCTCCTATCACCTTGCGCAGGTTCTGACGGGACACGGTTGCTTCGGCAAATACCTGTGCAGGGTGGGACGAGAACCGACGACCGTATGTCATCAGTGTGGCTGCGCCGAAGACACGGCCTAGCACACACTGCAGGCATGTCCGGCGTTCGACGAGCAGCGGTCAACCCTGACCGCAGTGGTGGGGCACGACCTATCCCTGTTGACCGTGGTGCGAGCCATGGTCGGCAGTGAGAGGGCGTGGAATGCGGTGGCCTCCTTCTGCACCGATGTATTGCCGCGGAAAGAGGCGGCGGAGCAGGAGCGAGAGGAAGACCCTTCCTCTCATCCTATGCGCCGCAAACGTTTAGGGCGCAGGCGGCTGGCCTATGCCCGCCAACTGCCGCCCTGACAGTGAACCCTGGGTGGCAAAACGGGGGCTTTGTCACTCACTGGGCAAGGGTTCACGGGTTGGTTGGCATGACAAGTATTCCCGACATGCCATTAACGACGGAGTGGAGAATATCTCCCAGACGTGGGTCCGCAGTCGCGGACAACCGCAGGCGGGGCCGTGGATCGTAAACCACGTGGCCACAGCCCCGTCCCATGCGGAGTGTGGGAATACCCGGGGGTTTTTAGTGAGTAGGAGTCTCACATAACCACCGCGCCTCCCCGTGACGCGGTGGTATCCATGACGGATTTTCCGGGGAAATGTGGGAATACCCGGAAAGAAAGAAAAAAAAAAGGCCCCCTGTTCTGCCTGGAACAACGCCCGTGCCGCCGTGTTCACGAAATTGAGAGAAAGCACGTTCTACTGCCGGTCATTGTCACTGCCAAGATCAGTAGTCAGGACAAGTGGCGCCTGTGGAAGCATTCGCCGATATCATAATAGCGCGCAAGGATGAGGCAGAGAGGGATCCGATGCCTCCCAATTCGTCGTAAAAGACTACATGGCCCAACAACCATAACGGGAACGGGCAGTGGACAAGGGGTTTTGCCATGTTGAGAGTTCCCGGGTTGGTGCGTGCTCTCGATGTGTTCCGGGGATGACACTATGTGAGTTTTCTCTAACACCTTGCTCCTTCATCAGAACATCGAAGATTCCGAAGACGGACGACCGCCGACGGGCCATGAAACGCTACAGTGATGTCATGACCCGCCACGCAACGGTGGAAAACGGAACACCCTGGGAGTTTAGTGCAGACGGGCTGCTCCCCTCAGTCCAGATCTACATAATTCTGACCCTTCGAGTGTTTTTTTCCATTTTTAGTTGTTTCGATTCCCGGCTCAAGCAAGCTTTTCAAAAAATCTGTGTATGCAGTAATTTGTCGCGCGCCTGCATTGATGCAAATGCGCGAGTGCATTGATGCAAATACGCGACTACATCGGTACAGTCGCTTGAATTCGGTTGAATAATTATGTACGAAAAAACTGTATATAAAAATGCACATTATTTTATTTTGTTAATTAATTGTTAATAAAATAAAAGGCGAAATTAATAAATACATTAAATAAATAATTTAGTTAACTAATTTAAAACGTGCATCGCGTTTGCATCGGTGCTTAAAGTCGCGCGTGTGTGTAAAGTAAAAGATTAGCGACTGCATCGCGTTTGCATCGCATTTGCATCGCGTTTGCATCGCTGCTAAAATCGCCGTGTGTAATTGCTGTTTAATGTTTTTAATAATCACATTGATTTTTTTCCATCCTGTGTAATATTATTATTATACTTACCTTATTATATAGACTAACGTTTGAAATTTATTTTATAACGTTTATTTTACACTACTGTTATTAGAAAATAAAACTAATCTACTATTGAAAAATAAAACATAAAATACACAAAAATTAAACGTATAATTTGTATGACAGAAATAATAGTTTCAACACACTTCCACAAAAAATTAATCATGCTAGTGCTAAATGCGACCCGTTGGTTGGGTCGGACGGAGGGAGCGAAATATCCTCTTACACTCATTTTTGTGTTTGTTACTAATATGCAGGGGTGTGCAGAAAAATCTGTAATAGGTTAATGCGGCATCGTTTTATGTATTTTTATTTAATATATGCGATGTATCTTTTAAACAAAATAACTTACCTCGGCACGCTACATTACTGCCTTGATAATAAATATCTGTTGTATATAGAGTATTGTTAACATGCTTGAAATGCTGAAAAACCCCATACAAATCACCCGTTTGGTATTAGTAGTATCGATGCATACCTACCTATTAGTATCTCGACCGTGCTTGCATATTGCATGCAAGCATAGTCTGTGCTTGACCATCATGTTCCTTGCAAATAAGCTACTTTGTTTTGGTTGTGTGGTAAATTTTATGAATAGAATCATTGACTTACAATTATATGGACGTCGGGTTCGCGCTAAAAAGTGTCCGAACTTATAGGGCGTTAAAATCGTATACAGAGCGTCATTCACGCTTTAGTCTTCGTTTGTTCGACTGACAGTGAAGCAAGCAAAATTAGACAGTACTGCGATGACATTACAATTTAAATTCAACGTTTTAGCTTTTTCATATTCCTTTACATGTCACTACGTTTAAATAGGTTGACCTGGGAATTTTTTTCGTGGTTTTTGTATTAGACCCGTCGTCCATTTATTTGTAAGTCAATGAATAGAAGAGAACAATAGTAAGTTGTATACCACATTTTATTAAATAGAACATGCTAACTCTCCCATGCCTTTATATTATGGAAGTGGCATTGTTTATCCGTAATCAACCAACATATTTTGAATTTAATGAAAATCCCCACTGTCATTATAATCTAATCCTCCCTGAACCCAAATTAGAAATGTTTAAAGTATATATGCATTGTATATTTCAATTTTAATCTACAACAAAATCCCAATATTTATTAGACAAGAGGGTAAGACGAGATTGAAGTAATATCTTATTCACAAATCATATTCTCATCATCAATCATATGTGTAAAAGACTTACGAAAAGCTCAGGTCGTTCAATTTAATTTTTAAATAATTATTAATTACAATTTATTAATAATACATAGATTTAATTTTTAAGCTTATTTGCAACACCCTGACTAGGTTATGTACAATACAAAAGTCAAAGTCAAAGTGAAATAATCATTTATTCCATACATTGACTTACAAATAAATGGACGACGGGTCTAATACACAAACCACTAAAAAAATGTCCCAAGTCAACCTATTTAAACGTAGTGACATGTAGGTAAAGGAATATGAAAAAGCTAAAACGTTGAATTTAAATTGTAATGTAATCGCAGTACTGTCTAATTTTGCTTGCTTCGCTGTGAGTCGAACAAACGAAGACTAAAGCGTGAATGACGCTCTGTATACGATTTTAACGCCCTATAAGTTCGGACACTTTTTAGGGCGGACCCGACGTCCATATAATTGTAAGTCAATGATTCCATAGGTAACATTTCTACACTTGAAAACGTCATTTTTAAGCTACTGCTCGTTCACTACGCTGACCTCCCTGAGAAGAACGAGCAAGAAACTCTAGGGATTGCTCTTTTCAAATAAACTTAAATGCTATGGAATATACTTTGAATCATAATTGTGTGGAATCTAGACTCATGTTGTCTTTCCATACTTCTTTATGTAACACATACTCTTCAATTTTGTAATATGACTTTTCATTTAAAATACTTTTTACGTCAGTTTTAAACTTAGGAAATGATAATCTTAACATATTCTCCGAAATCTAATTGTAAAAACGTATATAGTTCCCCATAAGTGAGTTTGGGCTTAGGTCTAAGGTTAACATTATGGATATCTTCTTTCATAATGAAATTATGTATATTTTTACGGGCATACAAAATATTATATAAGTAAATGTACTGTGATGCCACATTTTGACTGTAAGGCCTTTATATATGTATATGTGCAATTTGAGATAAATAAATAAGTACATCGTGAATTAAGGATGGCAAATAAGGCATTACGAACGACACTCTATTAAAAGCCCGAAGTCGAAGACTAAGTCGAGGTTCGTAATTCTCGTACCGCCCGTGTTATATACAATGTTTTCATCACATTTGTGAGGAAATAAATACTAATATAAATGCAGGAAAAATAAATGTCGCTTTGCAACCAACGTTATCTATGTACAATACAACAATGAAGGATTTTGTAAATGGCAGGTTTTTGTTTTTGTTGTTTCAAACAGATGACCAGTTATTCTTCCATAGATAATACAACTCTATTTTTTTATTATTATTTTGTTATTCTTCCATAGATATACTTTACAACTAAAATGTTGTAAAGTATGGATGTAACGCATATGAAATAAATAAAATTAAAACACTGCAAAATTTGATTTTTTTTAATTTATTTAGTAATCTAGAGTTAAATTGCACGTTTAGTTTTTTTTTTTTTCTATACCACAAGCTTGTGCGAAATACATTCAAAATTTTTCGAGCATATAAACTTTTTGCTTAATCATGACGTTGCAATTAAATTAAAAATAAATCCACTACTGCCATTTGGCGGTAATGTAATGAAAAAACCATAGATATAGGAAATAACCCGCGGGCGCAATTTAAAATAATTTTTAAAAATGTAAATTTAAGACACTGTTTACGAGCTAGTGTGATAAAAAATAAATAATTTCACAGACAATCACACTAATTTCAAACCAGAGTTACGTAATACTGGTTTATGACGACAATACCTAGTGCCAATAAACGAGCTTATTATGCAACGGTCGTGCTCCATTGCTATCCTTTAATCTGTATGCCGCTTGGCAACCCTACCAAAATTCGGGTTTGAAATCTTCCAGTAATTAATTCTGAGAGCATTAAATTACCTCAGTACCATAATTGTTCTTACCGAATAACATAAGTACTTCGTGCAGGGAAGTACTGCTATTTTACCAATTTCTGCCGCCAAGTAATTAATATGAGCATTACGACATTCCGGTTTTGAAGAGCAAGAGTGCTGGTGAGATTACAGGCACATCGGGCTTGTCAACTTATGTCTCACGGTAATGGGTACAGCGGCAGTGTCACTCAGATTTAGAGCTCTGAGCGGTGCTGCAACTGCTATGGACCGGCGTGTCACTTACCGCCAGGCGCACGGCTTGTTCTTCCTATCATTTGGTATCATTGACTTACAAATAAATGGACGACGGGTCTACTACAAAAACCACGAAAAAAATGTCCCAAGTCAACCTATTCGAAATTTAAATTGTAATGTCATCGCAGTATCGCGCTGTCAGTAGAACAAATGAAGACTAAAGCGGAGTGTCGCGCTCTGTATACGATTTTAGCGCCTTACAAGTGCGGACACTTTTTAGCGCGGATCCGACGTCCATATAATTGTAAGTCAATGTTTGGTATCATAAAAAAAAACAACTATCACTTGTAACATTTGTCAATTTCAAGTCTTCAAGTTACTTGGTACTTCGT